TCTCTCCCCTTGTCCTGTGTGCCCTCCCCTCCTCCCCCCTCATCCCTCCTTTGTTCTCGGGTCAATCCTCCCTCTCCCTCCTAAATCTCTCCCCCCTTCCCTCTTCTTCTTCTCTCCTCTTTTTGCAGCGGGATAACGGATCGTAGACCTGCAGAACCCTCATTCAGAGCATCACTGTGAAACACACACTCACACACACACACACACACACACACACACACACACACACTTAATACAGTTGTTTACTCCTCTCCACTCTCCAGAGGCTCCCCCTGAAGTGTGTGGATAAAGTGGGAGGGTGTGTGTTTGTGTATGTGTTGATGAGTGTGTGGGTGTCTAGTGACACTTTTCATGGGACATTGAGAGATGTGTGTGTCACAGTGGACGGGCTATAGGGGGCCGGTCTCCCCCACCCTCCCCCTGCTCCTCCTCCCCCTCCTCCTGTCCTTCTTCTCCTCCACGCCCCCCCTCGCTCAGGGAGCCATCAGCATCCCCGAAAACTGTGAGTACGCCAACATCAGCATCTCTTACTGTCAATAAAAAGTGTTTTTTTTTGCCCATCCTGAAATTAATCCTGAATTACATTTTGATTCAAAACAACATCTTTAATGTTTTTAGGGTTTGAATTATTTATAACACTACAGGCAAAAAGAGTTGAAAACAAACACAAAAACGATTAGATATGACCATTAAACCTCCCCAATGATCTTCCTTATTACTCGTTTCCTGAAATGGTGTGTGTAAATATGCAAATTAGGCATTTTCCTAGTATGTGCTCATTTGCATATACCTCCAAAATTTAAAAATATAACAAAAGGTTCAAAATGATTGTTCATTGTGTTGACATACAGTCAAGAGTTATTTACAGGGTAACTTTGGGAACTCTTTATCACTGACAGCAGTCATTAAAACAAAGGTCGTTTTATAGGAATAAAATGTTCTATTTTTCAGGCTATGAATGATAACGTTTGTGTATTTAAGTACTGGAGATTTCTGACTTGTTTTTAACATTTGGCAAGTTGTTTAAACACATTAAGACAATTATTATGTGTATTATGCATTACCTGTTATGTTTAAGTATGAAAACGAAGCATTAACTTATGCTAACTTTGGGGGAATTAGGGGAAATCTACAGACACAAATGGACTAAGTAAAAAATAAATACTTAAATGTGTATTTTAGAGGTCAAATACCGACCTTCGCATTGGAAAACAACGGTTTTTGCCTGTAGTGTCTTACCTGGTTCCTCAAAATATATATTTACGTCGCCTAACTCTTATTAATGTCAGCCTCGTAAAATCAGGTGTCAGCAAGTAACTTTATATATTATGCTGAAGAGAAAGGAAACAGGAAAAACCCTTTTAGTGACACTTGTGTTTTCTTCTTCTTGTCTTCATTTGTCTGTTTGCTTTGTTTAAATTAATCTTGGGATGAATCGTGCAAATAAAAAATGTCTGCATGTGGAGAGACGTATCATTTAACCACATTCACATAAGCACTAACACAAATACACTTATCCAAACAATCAGGTTTATAGCGACCTCTAGCCCAGGGGTTCAGTTCAGAGGTCAGAAATGTCAGGCGTGAAGCTCCCAAAGGGGGAGAGGGGGAGTCGGGTTCAGAACGACCTTCATCCAGTGACCTTCTCCTCTGGGTGTGGCTCAGGGAGGAAGAGAGAGGGAGACAGGATGTAAATAAGAGAGTGAAGAGAAAGAGATGGATGAAGGAGGACAGGGAGGGTGGAGAAAGGAGTAGAATACAGAGAGGAAGGATGGAGGGAGGAGGGAGGGAGGAGGAAGGAGGGAGGGAGGGAGGAGGAGACGACAGAGAGGGGAAAGATGTAAATTGATCCGGGACGCCATCGTGTCTGAGTCAGAAAACAAAGAGGGAGGAAAATCCTTTAGACGAGTTATTATAGTATCCATGTTATTTATAATCGGTGGTGGACATAATACTCAGACCCTTTACTTGAGTAGTAATACCACAATCTAAAAATACTCCAGTACAAGTCTGGGTTAATACAAACAATGTCGATTCATTACAAATACAGAAGGATTATCAGCCAAATGTGCATTAAGTATCAAAAGTATAAACACTTATTACCCATAGTCTCTTTGAAAAGTGTTGTATTACTATAGAATACTAAACTGTATATTGTTATATTTTCAAAGTTTTCATCACCAATAAATATATTTAGGAGATTTGTAATGTTGTATTTCGTCAATGTGGGGCACATTTTTGACTATTTGTGTAGATTTCAAGTCGATGAGTATATACTGTATATATATCATATAAACACATCGTGTTATTGGTATACTTCAATCTTTCAATAAATGTGGTGATGTAAAAAGTCTGAATGTAGTCGCAGACAATTGAAATACTTAAGTAAAGTACCTTCAAATACTGCTAGTACAGTACTGGAGTAAATATCCACTACTGTTTATAAGTAAGTAAATGTATAAATCTGCCATTAACACCTTCATCTAATATCCGTGTGAGTCTGCAGCATCTGAAACGTCTGCCCTTGTCTAAGTGTTTTCTCTCTGCTCTCCTTTCCTTGCTTACGTGTGGACAAACAGATAAAGTGCATAACAGTAAGTGACTCTCCTTGTTGTGACATGAAGAAGTGCTTGATGGCCGCTCTCGTATAATGCACTTCACTCACCAATACATCTCGGTGATAGAGGCCATCAGTCCAATATGTCTTACTGCTGCTGCCATATCGCTGACTGCCTGTTGTCCGTCATCGTCCCTGCAGCCTTTCAGTCACTGAGCAGAATTGTCTTTATTTCATTTGTGACATGAGTACATTTTGGGGGGGAAATGTTGAATGTGTTCATGTTTAGACTTTTGTAGAGTATTTCTTGATCTTATAGTGCGAAAGACAGGTAGACCATTCACATTGACACAGTCATTGCTTGCTAAGAAAAGTAATAGTATTTCTCCAAAAGGTCTACTTCCCCCGCATTAAAAGAAAGTCTTGTTTTAGCTTGGCTTTTGGAATTAATTGAAGGTTTAATGAATAATTGATTTAACTTAAATAGATGCATGTAATCCTTGATCTCAGTGGGGAAGTTTTTAATTAAAAGAGGGAAATATTCTTAAACACTTTCTTGCAGAGAATTAGATGAGAAGATTGAAACCTCTGTACTGCTGCAAGTGAATATGATGCTACAGCCAGAAGCTGCTTAGCTTAGCATAAAGACTGGAAACGGGGGGGCTGACTTTACAAAAACTAAATCTGTCTACCCTCTGCTCCAAAAAACGGACACACTTGGGAACATAACCTTTGTCGTTCATTCCAAACAAAAACTGAGGAGTAGAAACTCAAGACTTTGCAGATGTCCACATGTTTGAGCGAAGCTACTGTCTTCATATCGACTCAACTGACAGATACAGTCTGACTCATAATACTGCAGGCGAGCTGTGGTTTTCACCCACCTTTCACTCTTTCAACAAGCTTTATTGTGTTCATAAGCCAAGCACTTAGAGCAGGATGTGGTTACTGCCATAATATGCTGGTTATTTTCATTGTTGGTTTGACTGTAACCATAACATTTGATATTTGAAAGGAATCATTTAGCCCTTCTGGGAATCTTTTAACGAGTCCATCACATTTAAAGGGATTGAGAAATCCAACAATGATTCAAACTCAGACTTACAACTGGAACTACTGGTGGACTGAAGTATAAAGTATTTATGAGTATAAAGGGTTTAATAGGGTATTAAAATGCATTATTAGCATCTGATGTCCTGAGAGACCGTGTACTGTTGATCATTAAGATCTCTAACATAAAAGCTTTTAGCTCAACACATTTTGATGCGATTTAGCAAAACATAAATAAATATTGAGTCAGCTGTTTTAACATGTTTTCAACTGAAAATGGATGAACAATATTTAGCTAGCAAACTCTTAACAGTTAGCTAAAAGTTAACAGTGTTTTAAATAAATAGTTGAGACAGTAAACTTGTCACTTATGTCCGTCAGAAATAAACTGTTGGGTACTTCTACTTCAGATCAGTGACGGCCTGTTCTCCTAATACTTGTACTCCTGTATTTGCTTGCTCGTATAAGCTGTAATTACTGTACATTCAGGTGTATGTTGCAAAGTATTTCATTACTGTGTGTGTTTTCAGTGTCGGAGCCTCCGGAGCTGACAGAGCTGCCACTCTCGTACACAGTCTTTTCTCACGAAGACATCAATCTGCCCTGTGAGGCCACCGGTAACCCAACTCCCACGTACGTACAGCAGCTCTGTCTGTCTGTCTGTCTGTCTGTCTGTCTGTCTGTCTGTCTGTCTGTCTGTCTGTCTGTCTGTCTGTCTGTCTGTCTGTCTGTCTGTCTGTCTGTATGTCTGTCTGTCTGTCTGTCTGTCTGTCTGTCTGTCTGTCTGTCTGTCTGTCTGTCTGTCTGTCTGTCTGTCTGTCTGTCTGTCCTGTCTGTCTGTCTGTCTGTCTGTCTGTCTGTCTGTCTGTCTGTCTGTCTGTCTGTCTGTATGTCTGTCTGTCTGTCTGTCTGTCTGTGTGTGTGGTGTGTGTGTGTGTGTGTGTGTGTGTGTGTGTGTGTGTGGTGTGTGTGTGGTGTGTGTGGTGTGTGTGTGTGTGTGTGTGTGTGAGTGTGTGTGTGTGTGTGTGTGTTCACAATATGTAACAGTGGACAAATATAATGAACACAGTAGACATGACTGTATCTGGACGTCTTTCCACTTCCTTCCCCTCTGGCCTTCCTGTTGGCATGGCAATAAATGCTCTTCTAATAGAATCACAGCAATAACAAAATCATGTCTCTGGATTTCCATTTCCTTTCCCCCCCACTCCTCCCTGCCTGATCTGCTCTAACCTCTCTTACATAATTCTCTGCCTTTTTCTCTTTTTCAAATACAAATTTATATTTTGTTAAGGTGCACAATATTCCAAATGTGTGTTAATGTTGACAGAGCCCGGGAAAAGCTCTAAGCCCATTGGCTCCTACTGAAGACATTACATCTGTAAAGGAAAATCAAACATAGCTTCATGTGTATGACAACACTTTCTTAAAAACGGACTTCCTAATACAGTTTGGGTTTGCATGAATCCTAACTAGTATTCTCTGTATGTCAAGGCTGTATATCTTCTTTCTCTGTGCCATAGAGCTCCATTGTTGTCCAAAAACTATTAATAACATGAATGAGCCACACTGTTGCACTGGGTGACATGTTCATATAACCATGAACATTCACTGTGGTACATTCTGTATACAATCCCGCGCACAGTGTCCTTCAAATACTCTATAGAAAGTTTAGAGCACTTAATGTGGATGAATCTGCTGTTGTAAATAGTATCCAGCAAATGCACTATTCCTTATATTCTCTCTCTTTTTAAAGATATGTCTTCATTTTGAATCAATTGGCTTTGAGACGAGAGACAAAGAGGGGGGTGAGAAAGTTATAAGACAACCTATCACATGGGAGTTGTTGACACTAGGACGAATATAAAACAATACTCGTCCAAAGTGTTTCTTTTTGCGTGGCAAATATCTCAAAGTCGGCGTATCTGTTTATTTGTTTTGTGCAATGAAAATGTAGGGTAATGCCTCTATCTTCTTTTGTTGCAAAGACACATATGTAATCCTGTGTATGACATCTAAGTGGATGTGAATTTGTTTTTGTATTGCTGTGTCATGATACAAAAATCTATCTTCCTCTTCAGTTTCCGCTGGGTGAAAGACGGCGAGGCGTTCGGGTCGGAGCGTGAAGAGTTCGGGACGTTAAGAGCCCAAGATGAAGAAGAGACACTCGACTCGTACGGAGGCTACTACCGCTGTTACGCCTCGAACGCTCTGGGAACCGCCATGACACAATCCGTACATCTCATCGTGGAGCGTGAGTCACACACACACATTGCAAACACACACACACACTGCAAACACACAAGCACTTCAAACAGACACTCATCACACATGCTGATTCATCGTCACATGAATGAAATGTTACGAAGCATGTACAGTAAGACACAAATCCAACCTTCTGTCTCTGTCTCTCCTCCTACACACACACACACACACACACATACATACACACATTGCAAACACACACTTATCACACATGCTGACTCATCGTCACATGAATGAAATGTTACGAAGCATGTACAGTAGGACACAAATCCAACCTTCTGTCTCTGTCTCTCCTACACACACACACACACACATACACACACACATACATACACACACTGCAAACACACACTTATCACACATGCTGACTCATCGTCACATGAATGAAATGTTACGAAGCATGTACAGTAGGACACAAATCCAACCTTCTGTCTCTGTCTCTCCTACACACACACACACACATACACACACACATACATACACACACTGCAAACACACACTTATCACACATGCTGACTCATCGTCACATGAATGAAATATTATGAAGCATGTACAGTAAGACACAAATCCCCCCCTTCTCTCTCTGTCTCTCCTACACACACACACACACACACACACACACACATACACACACGCTTCAGTGACTCAGTGGGGTTGACTGGGGCCACCTGTTCTGCGCTCTCATCTCTTGTTACCATAGCGACCATTTCCTGGAAACAGAGCTGTAACGTCACTCGGAGCGGGGGTGCATGTTTTTGTTTTTGGTTGGGATGTCAAAGTTCAGGGTCGTCTTTACGGAGATCAATTACTATGATATACAGTATATTGTTTAAAAAATGGTTGTAGCTAAAGAGGATGGAGAAGTCTACGTCACACATTTAACAGACAAGCTCCAGTTGTGTTTCTATTCACGTATGTTCATTAACATATTGAATAACGCTGTGACGCATGGTGAGCAGGTACATGTTTAAGTCAGGATGAATGCAACAAAGTGCGGGTGTGTTTCATATTGGAGTGTACAGTTATTACTTTTTCTGATTTGTTGATGATCATGGATGATACTAAGTGCGTGTTATTGTAGAAAAATACATATATTAGAACATTTTGTATAGAAACTGAAAAATGAACTGACCTCTCTTGAGGAGGTTTTTGTCTTTGTTGAGATGATGCAACAAAAACATTATGGAAACACCTTTACCCATCAAGTTCTGAAGTAGTACTCACTTATCAGCTGGTTCTGCTGTCAGCCCAGAAAAACCCATAACATAAGGCGCTTTCACACCGGAGTACTTTTCCCGTACTTTTCCCAGTAATAGTTCCGATAGTTCCTGGGATGTTGCCTTTTTCGGGAATCTTTTCACCCCTTTCAGGGACTTTCCTTGGGAACCACGCCCCGTAAAACCCTGAAAAGTTTTTGTGAAGCCGCCATTTTATTTCCTCGTATTAGCATTATTAGCATTATTAGCATTAGCCCAGCGCACCAACGGAGAGAGAATAACTTATGGCAACACAAAATAAAACGTGGGATCGGTGGAGGTGAGGAGGTGTCGGCGCTTCTGGCGATTTATCCGGGACTTCGGGCGGCAGTATACGCCGTGAAGTTGTTTGCGGCCTGCCAGTAAACCCAAAGCAGAAGAAGAAGAAGAAGTGACGTCAGCGGCTTCATTTGCCTAATCCACCCCCAGGGATTTATTCCAGCGTGAACGCGATTTACTAGATAGTTCCTGGGAAAAGTACTTGGTGAGAAAGCGGCTATTCAAATGCTTTCTCCTTGAGACAGCATAAAACATGGCAAATACTAGATTCAAGATTCAAAGGTTTATTGTCATAACCTATACAAAACTACGGTGTAATTATTTAATGTATAAAATAGTTAAGTCACAGTTTCCTCAACAGTGCAATTTACAAGACAACCATTTTTTATTTTTTTAAATACTACCTGACAAAAGTAAACTGTTGCATTTTTTTTTTAAATCCTAAAGACCTCTTTTGATGTTTCTCTCGATGATGGTTAAATGTTCAAAGCAACATGTTTGACCTCCTGGTTTACAAGCTCCTCTTCTTCCCTTTCTTTCTTTAATAGTAGACTACAACCATGTCTATAGGCAGCGTAGCCTTTACTGCGAGAAAACTAGGCTGAAGCAGACTTTATAATTATGAAGGATCCTGGTATTTTTCTAACAGTTACGCCCTCCCCCTCTTGCAATCAATATGTCTACCATTCTCTTTGATCCATAGTGTTACATCAACTGTGAAGAAATGAACGCTGTACACAGTTTCACTTCTCGAGCAGATGAAAGAGGATAACAAAAACTGTAGTGTACGCTCAAAGGTAGCAACCTCTGCGGAAATTAAAGAACTGAAGCAAGAAAGGAGCTCTGACTCCCTTGCAGGTTCAGTGCATCATTTACTGTTCAAACTGGAACAGGAAAAAGCTGTAAGTGCAACAAAGAGAAACTAGGAAGCACTGTGTTGTGGCCTCATTACCTTACTGACTCAGCAGGTATAATGTTACCAGACAAGACTGTAGATCAATATCAAATAGCTTTATTGGCATGATCATAATGACATAATAATCATTTTACAAATAATGACAACATGCATCTATATATACAACTTGAGTTTATAACACATTGAACAACAGCAGAATTAACATGTTTTACTTACAAGGAAAAACAATATACATTCTTTACAAACAAACTGAATTAAAGAAATTCCCCCAGCTCCTTAAAGGGGGCCTATGATGCCCATTTTCGGGTTTCATGTTTGTATTCTATGCCTCTTCTAGGACATGTGATTGGTCAACCGCTCAGAGATGTCCCGTACCCCAGCCTATCACGTACAATGTGTTGGAGCGCTAGACCAGTGGTTCTCAAACTTTTTTCAATAATGTACCCCCTTTGAAAAACAATGTCAGCCAAGTCCCCCTGATCAGCGCAAAAACTATTTGTTAGGGGGAAAAAGCCTATATAAAGAGGTACAGTGCAGCGCTGCACCATCAGTGTCTGATTTATTAAAACAACAACCTTGTAACTGAGAAACACTTAAATGCTACATTTCAAATGTTTACAATCCATCACTAAATTCGTGGCAAACCAATTTTAACATCATGCAATAACACTGAGACGACATTAGTTGCATTGAACTGATCTTTTTAATAAGTTGTACTTACAATGTAGTGAAACATGGGCTTGTGCTTCACTGAGGATCTTTGTCATTATGACAGGAAGGCCACTGCAGTTATTACACTTCACGTTTTGAAATATGTGTAACTCTGTTCATATAAAACCCACACTGCTCAAACTTCATTACTTTTCCTAAAATTGGTTTATTTATTTATTTATTTTGGGGCGTGGGGAATGAAGAGAAAAAGATATATGAGCATTTATACCTATAACCGCCAGACGGGATGTTGACCCCTCATATAAACATAGCCTATGGATAATGCTGAGCTATAATTTGCGGCCACACCCCGTTGCCAAGCAACGCTTATTGTGACGGAACGGTGAGCAGAGCAAAACACACACTAAGAGTTAGACCTAACACACTTAGCTATTTTATCTACTCTGGAACAAGCTAAACTAGTTATAAATATGTGTATTCTTTACTGTCGGGTCACTCATTACAGGTTCAGCGAGCTGCACGAGACTGACCGGCTGTCAGGAGAGAGAGAGGAAAAGAAAGCATCCCGTTTATTTTTCCCATTTCATTATCCAGAATTACTGTAAACCTTTGAATAAAGTAGTTCATCTACTATTAGTAGTTTGTGTAAATGCATTACTTGTGTTGTTTTTTCATTAACATAAAATAAATCTCACGTACCCCCTGCAGTACTCCAACGTACCCCTAGGGGTCCACGTACCCCCATTTGAGAACCACTGCACTAGCCAATACAAGCGCAGGTGTTAAATAGGGATGTCATGTCAAATAAACAAATGGAAGCATTTTATTCAGGGAGGGAGTGTGTGGGAGAGATTAATGCAGATTCATTTCATTACATTACATTACATTACATGTTACTTGTTAGACGCTTTTATCCAAAGCGACTTACATACTCAATACTGTGGGCAACCCCCACAGGAGCAATTTGGGATGAAGTGTCTTGCCCAGGGACACAACGACATGCTGACTGCAGTGGGGTTTGAACCTGTGACCTCCTGATCCGAATACCAACTCACAACCCACTGCACCACACGCCTCCACACGCATTTCAATGCTAAGGATGTCCGCATGCTGTTGATGGTTCATGGTTCTTCACTAATAATCTTCTGCTTTGTGTTTCAGCTCAACCGGTTCTTCTAAAACAGCAACGGGTCGATAAGAAAGCAAACGAGGGAGATAGCATGATCCTGGCCTGCAACCCTCCAAACAGCTCCACCCCCCCGCACATCCACTGGATGGACAGGAGTGAGTCTGGCTTTCATCTTCTGCCTTCATGTCTTCTGTCCAGCTCATGAGACAGAGAGACACTTTATTTCTGGTAGATTTCCAGTCTGCCTCTCTGTAAGTCTCCACAATCTGAGCAGCTTCGTTGCATCTCCCCTTCCAGCTGAGTCCCCTGTTGGAGGGATTCGCGCTGCATTGCAGATCATTTCCACTCAAACTAATGAATGCAGTAATGTCAGCTGATGTCTGGGCTCTATTTTTCTAAATTGTTCCTTTTTCTTGTCCTTGATTCCCCCTCTCACTGCCTGCCTGTTGAATAAGTGCATTTTAGCTTGTTCATTTGGTTTAACTCGCATAAAAAGTCAATACTGCAGTGCACTAAAAAGCCTTCCTGTTTTTTGCAACAACCTTTATAGTGTATTTCCCCCTCTGACATCATTGTACCTTAACTTGTCCCGCCTCTGTGTCGTGTTTCCCTCAGGGATGGTGCACATCAAGCTGAACGACAGAGTGATGGTCGGCCTGGACGGGAACTTGTACTTTTCTAATCTTATTAAGACAGACAGCAGAAGGGACTACTCCTGCAACGCTCAGTACACCGCAGCCAGGACGGTCCTCCCTCTCCCTGCTGTCCACCTCACTGTCATACATAGTGAGTTCACACACACACACACACACACACACACACACACACACACACACACACACACACACACACACACACACACACACACACACAGTGAAGTGGCCTAAAAATGTATAATAGAAATGTGGCTTTAAACTAGAAAAAAATACAATGTTATGACATGCACAAAGGGGAAAAGTTGTCCTTAGGCAAATGAACAATTACAGATTTTCAATTATTGAAAACATTTGCGATGTGAGCCCACAACTCAACATAATATATAACATAGTTCCTTTTTTGTATTCCTTTTCATTTGGAAATGTTGCATAATTCACCTTTAACTGATTTTAGACATACGCCAGTTATTAAGTATTGCCTCTCTATAAATTGTAGTGACAGGTGTTTCTATTATATTGTCCACTGTATTTATTTGAATGAGGGTAGGCTAAAAAATCACGCAAAGCAAAAGAAAACTCATCTACACTTTTACGATGAAAACATTACAGTGTGATGTGAAATATTTACATGTGCTTTTCTCTCCAGGTAATGATCTTGTTCATGGCAAGAAGCCTGACTTCTTCCATCCCGTGGGCTCCCACAGCTCCGTGCAGGCCCTCATGAGCCACAGCGTCGTCCTCGAATGTCTCCCCAAAGGCCTGTAAGGATCTCTGTGTGTGTGTGTGTGTGTGTGTGTGTGTGTGTGTGTGTGTGTGGTGTGTGTGTGTGTGTGTGTGTGTGTGTGTGGTGTGTGTGTGTGTGTGGTGTGTGTGTGTGTGCGCGCGTGTGTGTGTGTGTGTGTGTGTGTGTGTGTGTGTGTGTGTGTGTGTGTGTGTGTGTGTGTGTGTTGTGTAGTGTGTGTGTGTGTGTGTGTGTGTTGGTGTGTGTGTGCGCGTGTGTGTGTGTGTGTGTGTGTGTGTGTGTGTGTGTGTACAACTATTCAAATGTAGTTTTAATTCCACTATATCAAGTCATGAACGTTCACATCGTATCATATTTGATTACACAACAGCATTTGAAAAAAATAAACTACTACAGGCTCTGATCCAATGTAAACAGACCACTCTAATGTGTGTGTATAGGTGTGTATGTTTCTACAGTATCAGCCTGCAGTCATTTGCATGGCTTTTCAAATCAAATCACAGGCTGCAGATTGATCAACGTGTGTCCTTCTGCCATCAGACGGGCGCAGGGATTCAATAACTAAAGAAATCGTATTTTTTTGTATGCAGATTTTGATGCATCTACTGTTCAGAAAGTGTTTGATTTCAATTGTTTGTTCCAGTTCAAAATGGTGGGATATACATTAGAAGTAAAACCAGCATAATTTAAAGTGAAAACTACATGCTACAGTACAGGTGTTGACTGGCAGTAGTTCACTCTTGAATCAATAAGAACACTTCCTGGTTATTTCACAATAAGAGCCCCAACTCCCTTCCAATATGTAAACTCTTATACAGGCATTTATACAGGACCGTTAGGCCACACGAGGACGACCGAATACGGCACTAAACGACTGCGGAAACGATAACTGGTCCCAAGGTGGATAGAACGGCATACGCAACGCTCTGGGGGGTCCAACGGCTCCGTGTGTACGCCCTATACGATCATTTTCTGATA